AATAAATACAAATATAATATATGCAAACATAGAAACAATCATAATTTGATATATTTTTTTTTCTTTTCAAAAGTAATGACACTCTAGTCATTCACCAGATGTTGAAGTATGTATATATGCATACAAAGTAGAAGAGAGACGTGATGGCATAATTTAGTTAATTATAAAATTTTGACTATATATGGAATAAACATTCTATGAATGTATGATATATGTACAAAAATCACGCACTTAGATAACGATCTATATTCACATTTATTTTAATGATGAAAGAGCTGAATAACCTTGATGATTTGTTATATGTTTAAGATGTTGTCTAATAGAAAATGTAAAAAAATAAACTGACTTCGTGATTGAATTGTATTTTGTGAGACAGTTTAGTACCTATTCGAATTTAATTTTGAATAGAATAATAGATAATGCACTACACTACGCGATTATATTGATTAATGTAAAGACACCGAATTTTTTAAAATAAATATTAGTATAACATACGTCTATCATTCTTCTATGTAAGGTCATACTTTAACCTTATCTCGCTGTTCTGATACTCTTTTATTTTCGTTCAAATAAATCAAGAAGATAAGAATTATAAAAAGAACTAGTTAAATATACGATTACACAACGTTGTGAGTGCGACATGCATGTTCTATTATTATTTTTTTTTTATGACTTATATAAAACAGCATGTTAACATTCTGTATAATCTGATTTCAAGAATCTATGTAACATTTCTAATTTATTCTAGTATTTAAAAAACAGACGTACTAAGACAAAGAATATGACGTTTATGGTTATTCGTTAAGTATCCGTACAAGAATATGTTTCCATTAATTAATGTAATCATATTTTATTTTCATGATCGTATTTACTCGCAACATAAGAGTATACCACAAACGATTATATTGTTATTATGAATATATTTACGAAAATATACATTCTTAATATGCACTCATTGAAACAACACAATTCTGTCCACTGTTATACTCTGAGTTAGTTAAATAAACAAGATTTGTGAGGTATCAGCAATTTAAAATTTGAATAAGTCTTTGCTGATGGTTTTGTTTTACTTAGGTTTGGATAGAATTTTTTAAAAAAAATTTAAAGAAGATTATAAAAATTAAAATATCCCGAAAACATAAAGTCTTGGTAGCTTCAACATTTATTCGAATTTGTTGAGTGATTCTATTCGTCATATGGTTAGGAAGAAAATGGCGCCAGGTTTTCAGAAAATAGTGTTTCATTGTCAATAGAAAAATCTGCGTTGAAAAGTATACTCAATTCTCAAAACAAGTTTTCATCAAATTTTCGTCCTTACACCCCTACGCTACTATTTTCGAATAAACTGCTCTGTGGTTCCAATAAAGTCGAAGTTGTACGAAAATTAGTTTTACGTATTGAGTATATTACTCAATGGAGATTTTTCTGCTGATTCTAAAATATTATGTTCGCTTCATGTGAAACTGAAATCCTAATGATCAAAATCTCTGAATACAAACTCGTATTTATAGCGTTTTATTTTCATATCGAAAAAAAAATCGATATTCTCAAAAAAATGAAAGAATATTTTTCAGAAATCTAGTGTCGTTTATCTCTAATTATATGATGAATAAGATTTTATAATATCGAACCTTGATATTTTGCACGTATGTCAATTTTTCTACGCATGTTTTTTTATAGACATATTACATTTCTAGTAATGACTACATTAAGATGATAGATTCAATTATATTTCATTACTTCATAGGACAATCTCGCAATTACACCTAAAAATGAAACTTAGTTCTAATCTAACGAAAATGAAAACTATTTCTTATTTACATATATAAAAGAATTAAACAAACAATACAAATACACCTTTTGTTTTTATTGAATATTACACATATGTTTATAATGAAAATTAAAAAACGAGAATCCAATGTGCATGATAAATAAACAACTTAGAATATAAAATACATAAGAAAACTTTCTAAAACAAAAAATATTCAAACTGAATATAAATATATGTAACAAAATAATTGTTCAATTTGTTTCGTCTGAATTAATAGTGAAAATTGCAGATGCATAACTAACACTCATATCATTTGGTTCTTTGTTACTTGATTAGATTGATCATATTTAACAAATTGCATAACAAATTTCAACAATATATCAGTTGGAATAATTTTTTTATTTTGTTCAATTGTCTATATAATTAAACCCCGAGAGACACAACAATTAATAATACAAGCAAACAAGAATAAAAAGAAAACTTACAGAAACTAAAATCTTATTGGATATCAACCACATATAGTATTATTTGTCGAACGAAGATAGTTTTGAAAATCAGATAAATTCATTTTCTTCAATTAATTTTATTCCTTGACGATCTAATTTTTCAATATATGGCCATATTTCACCATCTGATGGATTATGTGATGTATTGGTTAATTTTCAACCTAGAATAAAACTTTGTTTCTTATGACACACAGAGATAAGGTGCTAATAATTGTCCATATTTTTGTACTTTAGATGAATCAAGTGAACCAGCAAGAATTGAAATTGAATGAAAATTATTGCGTTTGCTAAAAGAAAGAAATTCATTTATTAAATAAAAATATTTTTTCGGACTATCTTCAATTTGAATAACATTTTTTTTTAAAAGATTTTTTTTTCGACGAAAACATCATCGTTCTAGGTAGGCTCTATTTTCAAGTGGATATACTGATCAGTTTTATTAATAAAATAAGTGTAAGTTTCAATTAAGGTTTTGTAGTACCCATCGGCTTCCGTAACCAGAGTCAAAAGTCTATGACCAAAGATTATATGTTCCTTAGCAAAAGGAAGGAAGGAGCAACAAAATCAGGTAATAGATCGAATTAAGAACAAACCTTAGACTGCTCTAGAAAATTTCAAAGTCTTCCTGAAATTTAACTGACTGGAATATGTTTGCGAAATATTCTAAATAGTGCAGTTGTTTATTTTTTCATAGATAAAAATTAATGTTCAAGATGCCAAGGATGATGTGTAGTAATGCATGGTTTAGTCATGGTCGTCATATGATCAATATAAGAAAATGTGAACTGATCAAGTTATAACTTTGGGAAATAATTAATATCAGTGTTTTTGAGATTTTTGAGATATATCATAATATCTTGAGGTCTGTTGCAGATATAATCATTCACATTCACACTCTGAATAGAGCACCAGTAAAAATAAATAGGAAAAGAAAAACTTCTGTTCGAAATGAAAAAATACATAAGATGAATCGTTCCATTAGCGATTGTTTATCATTGAAAAACAACTAATGTCTGCTAGAGATATTTCCTATTTGAATAATAGGGCTAAACAACATATATGTGTTTTACATTTTAGTCTCAAAATGGCTATACGAACAAGTTTTTTCAGATAAAAAAACGTCAGAACATATTTTTTCATGTGATATTATGTTAGTTAGCTTGTCCATCACAGTGTGTTTAATTTTTAGGTATGAGCAGCCAGGTATCAATTTGACAAGAATTTCAAAACCTTTTTATTTCATATTATTATCATATTTGCTTTAATATTAATTGTTGTCAAAGTTCAACATCACTTTCATTTTGTGTATTGAAAAATGTAATTTATTTAATATCTTACTTTTCAAATATTTTTGCAATAAAAGGTAAATACATTTCTAATGTATGTTCATTAGAAACTTGTTGTTGATTCATAATTGAAAAAAGACCTGTTTAGTAAAGTTTTGTTGATATTTGTGTATCAATTTCAATATTATATAAAGGTGTTTCATAATATATATGATTTGTTAATGCACATGTCTTTTAAACTATAATGATGTGATGATCTAAGAAGAAAAATACGATTAATATTTGTTGGATCAATATATTTATAAGCATATGCAGCTGTCGGTCTACTATAACTGTATCTAGCATGTGGTACAAAAATAGCTCGTACATTTGATTGATCGTTTGTATTATTAGTTACTTGTTCAAGACATGTTGATAGATGTCAATTAAGATTATCTCCATCGGCTACATATCAACTTTCAGCATGAGATGCTTCATGCAGTGCTGAATCTTAATTTGTTTGACAACTGTTAAACATGTTCTAGAAAAGATTTGATTGAAAATATTAAATTATTCATGAATTTAAATTGTGAAACATGATGAATTTCGAAGATTTTTACAACGCTTTATTTAAATATCAATAAAGATGAAACAGTAAGAGTTATAGTTGCAGAAGAAAGCTTTACACATTTAAGAATATATATGTTACAATTATTAAAGACAGAAAATTTACAGAAAAATGATAACTGGTATGGTGAAAAATGCATCAGAAGAAATTTATAGATTATTTTGGAAAAAACTTCACAATGACAAATATTACAAAGATCTTATATGGATTATTTTTTTGATTCAACTACAGTGATCGAAAACCAGCGCTGCTAGAGATTCATGTTTTCAGCAATTTTAGAATGAACAATAGTCATCATCATAAAGAAAACTTTGCATATAAAGAACAATCGTACCACGAGTTTTTCTGCTAAGAATTTCAAGAGTTGACTTTAATAAAAATACTAACTAGCAATGAAAAACCAAAAATTAAAAAAAAATTGATTTTCACACCCGAAAAGATGAGAATGGTCTACTTAAACTTCTAAATACCGACTACAACCATCGTATTAGAACATAATAGTGTTTCGAAGAAACAAACATAAATCTATATCCTCATTTTCTTTGTAATTATTTTTAAAAGTTTACTTCATCTTTTACCATAATTACTGGTCTTACTCATCACCATTTCCGATAATAAAAAAACAAAAAAGAGTTTCACCATGATGATTAAAAACAGGCGAGTCATAAACAAGCATCTAAAACTTTCATTTTTTTTTCTTTTGAAAGAAAACAACAACTGTTCCTTGTCTAACAATACGTCACTCATTGTCAATACAAAAAAAAAAGAGAAAATTCTTCAAAAAAAAAAAACAGATAAAATACAAGACTAAAGAAATGCATAAATTATGACTAGTAATCATCACCACGACTGACAACTTCTTTACATGTTGGTCGTAATATTATTGTATGTTCAAATTGTGCTGTATAACAACCTTTTATATCGCATAATGGTGGATAAGGATTAACAACATTGGCATCCACAAGACTTTTCAAAGCCAATAAATATTTACTTTCTCCTAAACGATCTAACCATCGACGACAAAAAGCTAATGTACCAAAATTTTTTGTTATTGTATTATATAATTGTTTAGATTTAGTATTTCTAATAAATTAAAAATTAAATAAATATATGAAATTTCTTTTTTGTATTATATTACCGAACTGAAGCTTGTTCCACATCAAAATTTTTCATATAATGTGATACTTCCATATCATCATGAACTAAACCTTTACCTGTACTACCGAATGTTTCAATTGCATATATTTCACCTTCCTAAAATTAAAAAGAAAACCATTGATATAATTTTTTTTTTTATATTGAATTTATATTACCTGCATACGAATTGCTTCACCTCCTTTAACTATAGGTATTGATTTACCGGCATGAATATGATATTGTCCAATAAGATGACCTTGAAGATTGCGAATAGATTTAACTAAAAACGACAAAAAAAAACTTATTAATGACATTCGATTTATTAATTACTTGAATAGTTAATATTTAATTATTCAATATTGTTTATTAAATCAATGAAATTCATTAGAAGTTGTTTCTATCATTATTTCATTTATTTTATACTCTATATCAGAATGATAAATGGTGAGTATGACTATTTTTGCTAATTAGTTAAAAATACCAGCAAAAAACCCTTAAATTAGTAAGAAGTAACTAAACTTATAGGATATTCATTTCTTTCTTAACTTATTTTGTTGTTAAATTTGCACACATTCAAGTGTTAGATGAATTCAAATATAACGCTCGTAACAATGAAATGTACTAAACTTAAAGCTAGATTGACTTTTTTATCAGCATAATTTTTAATCAAAATTTATTACGATTTCATTTATAAATTTTAATAAATGTCTATGAAAAAAAAAAGTAATAAAACAAACACTTTCTCAGAAAGAATGAGTCTGCCAACGATCACATCTCTTCTATTTCGCTTTTCAACGTTTAATGTACATTGAATAACTGGTATAATTTAAGCATAATCGGTCAAAAATGAGTTATACTTGCTGTCAAGACGTGGACAATGCATTTCTCTCATCTATAGAATATATATCTTGAAGTAATATTTTATTAGCAAATTCTTATATGAGTGAGATCTATTACAACAAAACTAAGGTCATTTATGCGTTTGTACCTTAGATGAAAACCATAATGTTGCTTTCCATCTCTATGAAAGTTTATCTCTTAATATGTTCATAAAATTATAATAATCATCTGTCGGATACAAAATGAGTTTACACTCGATATAGCTAATGACACCATTAAAATGAGACGTTGGATCTAAACAAATGATTTCGTCAAAATTGAAGATATCTACTTTTCCGTTCATTCAACATTTTCTTATGATAGTATATCATAAGTTCCCTTGCCTTTAAGTGGATTTTATGCAACAGGTATCGAGAAGCTCTTTTGTTTTGGTTATATATTCATTTTCTTCATAGAACTAGAGATAAATAGTACTATATCCTTTTATATCAAAGAAAACCAACAACTGTCATAATAAGCATTTCAGGACTTTTAGTAATACGAAAAAACATAGAAAACGACGTTATCAAAAGCACTTGGGTCTTATGTGATATATTAAAGATAATTATACAGAAAGATAACTCACTTAAGGACAAACTTCATTTTTAATTATAAATGCATAATTATCATTTGTTAATATGAAGAAAACGCTACTTGACTTCAAAAGTGCATAGAAATATTCAAATTTCTAATGTCTTCCCTAACAATCATAACTATCCTTCTTTCAATAGTATAATTTTATATTTTCAATGATTTAAAAACTTCGACTTTTTTTAAAATTTCTACATACTAGGATAGAGTTTTCCATCAAGTTCAATTTCATGACTTTCCATTACTTCTTGAATTGCTTCACCAATATCACATAAACGAACATCAATACCTGCAGTCTAAAAAAGATAAAACACAAAAATAGATATAAAAAAAGAAACATCACAGTTTCCTCTTATTACTTGTATTCCAGTATTTGTTGCTTCTCGAACAGCTTTAAGTAATTCATCATATTTCGGATTAAATGCTAATGTCCATGCACAATCAATAATTCGTCCATTAATATGTGTACCAAAATCAATTTTACATACGTCATCATGCTGAAGAATAGTATTATCACCATTGTTAGGTGTATAATGAGCAGCACAATTATTTAATGAACAGCCTTATTAATAAAATAATTTTTTACAAAAAAATAACAAATAAAACAAAATAAATTATACCTGTTGGAAAAGCTAAACCAGCTTCAAGACCGTTTTCTTTAATTAATGTTCGATTCATATTTTCTAATCGTTCACTAATTGAAATTAGAAAAAAAAAGTTCTAATAAAACTTTTTTTTTTCATATATTAATAAATCAACATACCAAATATCAATCATTTTCATGCCAGGTTCAATCCAACTCATAACCCATTTTCGAGTTTGTCTATGACATTCAGCAGCTTGTCGTAATTCTCGATAGATTTCTGTTTGAGCCATATCAAGCATACGTTTTTCTTCATTTGTCATACGATTAATTGCAAGTGATCTATTTATATAAAACTTGTATTTTACAATAGTCACAAGAAGTGCCACTACCCCGTAGAAAGTACATTAACTTCAGTCCGTTTACCTGATACTTTGATTAAAAATAGAATTCGTTAAAGCCTAATCGCAGGCAGCAACAACCCGAGGTCGACACGCCTTAGTTACGAAGAAAACACTGGCCTTTTCCCTAAAGTCCAAAAAAAGACTTTTTTAAACACTTTTCTGGTGTTCCACTATTTGAATATGTTAATCAGCATTTTTCAATTAACAAATAAAGATTCACATTCCGATGTGACATTACAGATAAAGTATTTTAATCCACTATAACCTTGAGGTGTCGAGAAGCTTCCATCCTCTAGGGTGGTCTTAGCATAGATCTCTTCTTCATTGATGGTGATGATCATGAAATTTTCAAGGCAAAAGATTAAAAGTAACCGAAGATATTGATTATCTTTCGATGGTTCTCACTAATTCTCATTTGTGCATTAACTAAAGAATACTTCATAAATCAGACAAACTAAAACTTATTGACATGAAAATTTTGTTTTTGATAAAGGCAGTAACTGAGGGTTGTAGGACTAGTTGCAACTATTGCATTAGTTAGGTTTTTATTTCTTACCTATCTGTTGGTGGAATTTTTGGTATTGGATGTTCAAGAATTTGTCCTTCAGGATAATTTCCATCTGGATATAAATCACAAATAGGTATTGATGGTGGATTTGTTTGTTGAAGACGTGATATTGATGTAGAACTATTATTAGTAACAAATGTTGTGGCTAAAAAGAATAATATTTAAAATGAAAACCAAAAAAAAAACATTAGACATAGAGAGAAAATACCTTTTTTCTTTTTTCTATTTTTCTTTTTAGTTGTTGTTTTTGTTTCGTCAACTTCAACGTTTTCATCTTCTTTTTCATCATCTATTTAAATTAATTAGTTTAAATATTATCAAGAGAAATAATTTGAGTATGCTGAGTATCTTGAAGATTTTTATAAGAAATATTCAAATACTAACGATTATCAATGGTAGTCGTAGACGATAAGCTATCATATGAAATCAATTTCGACTTGGATTTCAATATTTAGCTATTAACAAAAAAAAAATAAGAGCATTCTCAATTCCATCAGGTAATTTTATGCTTGCTATACAGGTATACTTATGACTTGCGGTGAAATTCGACTTACTATTAATATAAAATTTACAATGTAGGTCAATCATATATTTTGCATTATCTGTTGAAAGATTATCCTATCGTATATTTCTACTTTTGAGATAAAATACAAATGAAATACAATAACCTTTCAAAAAGTAGAACAGAATATATAATTGAGTTACATTACGAAATTTATAGATCGAACTGTGCATATGACTTATCTTTTTATAGCAGTCAAGTCCTCTGATTAAACCATCATAAGGTTGAGTATCAACCGTTGCTCTTGCTATTTTTTAGAAGTGAAAGAACTTAGATGTTCGACATACGTTCGGATACAGTCTGTTTGATAAAAAATGACTAAGAACAGCTGCCTTCTAAAAATTGACAGATAATTTTTCGATAACAACTCAAAATTTTCTCAGATGCGATATAAAAATTAGACGACTAGTTCACCCAATATCCACATTCACACAATCTCAGGAACATTTTTATCGATCAACTTATTCTAGAATTCTTATTTAGATATATTTATATCTTTCCGATAGTTGTAGAAAAAATATTTTATAATATTGATATTGATATTATTTATAAATCAGCTATTAGTTCTTCATAATTATCTCAAGATTAATAGTATAATCGTGAAAAGAAAACAATATTAAATACCATCTTGTGAAATGGACAAAGTAGCAATAGCTTCTGTTCCATTTATAATTATATCATTTTCTATATTTTCATCATTTATAACTGTTTGAACTAAAAATATCAAATAGAAGAAATTGTTTCTATTGTCTTGTTAAAAATATTTTCTTGTACCTTTATTTTTCTTCTTTTTCTTTCGTTTCTTTTTTGTTGTAACAGTTATTTGATCATCAATTTGTTCTGTTTCATCATTATCATTATCTTCTGAATTATCAATATGATCTTCATGATAAATATTATTTGATGCCATTTTTTTTTTCTAAAAGAATCTTTTTTCTTCTTCTCGTCTCAAATGATCTCTTCTATATTCTCTCAACCACGCCAATAAAAAAATTACTCATTGCCTTTTTCCAAATGTTTCATTTAGATGTCTCTGCTGTAGTTGTTCTTTCTATGTAGATAGCAAGAATAAAAAACAATGGTTAGAGAGAGTCAGTGAGTCGAACGAGTAGTAAGCCGAAGAAAAATTGCTTACTTTGTTGACAAGTTAAGAACCAATCAGAATACGTATCCTTACTTTACCGTAGTTCAATCATGTTCTTTCCGCTTTCTACGAAAAGTTTTTTTGTTTTCACGAGATAGAATCGAAGTAATAATGAACTGATTTGAGTTCTGTTACACAAATAATACAGATTGTAATGATTATTTTAATTGTCAATTAATGAGTATCAAATGATATGACAATGGTACACGACATATATTAGGTATAATATTGAATATTACCGTTAGACATGATAGATAAACCTATTCATTGTTTAAGGATAATTTTTGGAAGTGGCATATCATTTGTGCTTACATACGATCTTTAATCAACATAGAATGAGTACAAATTGTAACTATGTTTTTATTTGATGTTAATATCTAAACCAAATGAAATCAATTATGAAAAAAATTAAAGTCAATAAATAAAGGAATGATTTTATTAAAGTTGGATACATCGATTTCGAAAGAGATTTTTCAATTTCTTTTTGCAAGTTTAATCAAAAGAATTATCTGAGTATAGCTATCATTTTTATTCGATTGAAAATCAAGTGTTTATGATTAGATAATTTTCATACATCTTTTTATCGTAGCAAGTGATTCTCTATTCTTAATTTAATGAATTACATTTTTCTATGCATGAAATAACCAACCTATATTGAATGTGAAAGTCTTATCACATTTCTACTTGCTATGATATGAAAATTTAGTCAGAAAGAATTTTGCATCAATGCTCATCATAGATTTATTATTATTTCTTGTATTTAACGAAAAAAAAAGAACAGCAAATGAGTTACAGTAACAATGAACATCAACAGTTCTTTTGTTGAATTCTGTTCATTTGTTAAATGTTGAATAAAATATTTGCAAAGACATAATATTGAAACAGAAACATTCACAGTCACTATACAAGTGTTCAACAAGTTCATTCATTATATTATTTTATTCTAATCGGCTTGTATGCGAATAAGTATGACAAAAGAATGCTGATTCTTTCATTGAATCCAACTATGGAAGTATAACAAAAAGTTGTCAGTCTATTACTTATGCTCATGTTGTGTACAGAGATGTATAAACAACTCGAATATAACAAAAAACAGCTGTTCATCGGATAGTTTTTTTTTACAATGAAATTCAGTGGTTAATGATGTCCACTATGTATAACATTTTTTCAATGTTTTCACTCTTTTTTTTTACGCTAAATTCAAGAAATATCTTAGAACTATTTTTAAACAATCTTTGAACATCTATAATAGATAAAACTTGATGATCCTGTTTACAAATGCTAAGTAGATTACATCCGAATACTTCTCTGAAATGATTTACTTTTTTTTTTCGTTGATATGAAGCGCCAAATAAGTTTTTTTGAATTATTTCATACATCAATCGATAGATTATATTAAAATATATTCGACAATATAACGTACACCCTTCAAAAAAACTCTTTATATCATGCTACACAATGATCAACACGATTTGACTCATTGAGTTATCCAAAAGAAGTACGTAGTTTTTATATTATTTGTTTATTGACTTTTTTTTTATCAGTAAGCGTCATAGATGAGAAGAGTGATGCTTTTGTATTTCAGATACTTCGTTTGACATAAGCTTCAATCTGTATTTTAGTCACTTCATATCGGAATAATAGCTTATGTACATTTGTAAATGTTGAAACACGATTATGATAATTCTCTGATTCTGAAAGATATCGTTGTTGCATTTCAGGTATTTGTATTAGCCAACTAATTTATTTCAAAGCATTTTTGATTCTATTTTGTCACATATAATTATTGACGCTGCATACCTTTTTTTCTATGTGTATTATAGATACTGTTTGTGCATATTAACCTTGATTTACCAATCTTATTTATAAAATAAAACGAGCGATAATAATAGAAACTATATATATATAGGGTATTGCATAGAGTGTAATAAGAGAAAACCACATGCAGTAACGCAAAGGTATAAATGAGACAGTGTTATCTTAAAAATAGGCTTTTAATGGTCTCATTTACCTTTCAATGAAAGGAACTCCATAATCTATGACGAAATATTAGACCGTAAAAAAAGGTGAAAAATAAAGAGAAACGATTAACGTTTACTACTGTTTGCGATAGGAATGGAGCTGTTTTATAGTCATTGCAAATCTTTGAACTCGACTTCTTCGACATTTGGAATGATCAATCTGTGAATGAGTGCCAAAACCGAGATATTTTGTTAGTATCATCATAAATTTCTAACATATATTGATTGATAATATTCACGGTACATATCATTATTCGATCTATGATGCACGTTTTGAAAATGAAAACGGTTTTGTCATCTCTTTTGATTTGACAGGATAAAAAAAAAAATGTATAAGGAAATTTATTTTAATATAGATGATTGTAAAGGTGAAAATTTTATTTTTTTCAACAAAGAGAAATAGAAATATATTGATAATGAATATTAGCTGTAAAAAAAGAAAGGATCAATCTGTAAATACAAAAGTATCAAGTCAACATTAAATTTCATCTTTTTTTTGTGCTTACCAATTATCAACTATTTAATAATTCTTCAACATTTATTTTGCACTTACCAAGAATGATCATTGTGATCGTCGGAAACAATTGCTTAAATCACTACAAAACGGCCTAATCTCTGTCGTAAATGAAGACGATTGATGACCATTTTTCACTGGTTTTTGGGTTATAATTCATCTTCTGAAATTACTTTAGCGCTTATTACCGAAACATAAACGGTGTCACTTAGAGTTATTTCCATCAAAGTTGATGCGCAGTATAAGAATCGTATTTTCATTGTATCATGTCTTATTTACACTGTTTTCTGCAGCTTACGACTTCTTTAAATTACTTCTATTGCACGCTACCTATGGTTCCTATTATTATATGATACATTCAATTTCGTAAATAAAATTCTTGCATATAGATTTGCTAGCTCAAGCTACAGTCAAAGTAGATGTGCAACAAATGGGGGCACATATCGACACAATAATGATATGCATTATATGTAAAAGTATCGTTCAACATGTTTTCAGATAGAGAAGTTCATTAATTAAAAACAACCTATAATTTCACGAATATAGTTTTTAATAAAAAAAACCTAACATAGTTATTTTTCACCATTTTGAAATATCTCATTGGAACTTGGATAAACTTTTTACTTGACATCTAGAACATAAAACAATGAGTTATATATATATCTAATGATGTTTTTCACATTCGTTTTTCATTTCATGTGAAAGTAACTTGAAAACATAGTTGTCAAAATAATGGCCATTTCTGCTGGTATGTAAACGATGGTCGTAACGGATATCACTTTCGATGTATACTGTTTCCTTTGTCATGATTATAATCATGCATCACAAGTGTATGCATCATCTCCTGTAAATGTTTCTTTTTGTTTGAGTTTGTAATTATAGTATTGATTTAATGTTTCTGTTTTCACTAATATAAGTTATGTTGCGCATGTGTCGCTCTTTGTAACACAACGTACAATATATAAAACTATGACATGAAATGCTCGCTACGATACAATTTGAAAAACTCGTGCAAATCTAGTATCAGGCTTGTCTGTCATTTTTGATATGGAGATAAAAAAATATTACATTAGCAGTTATGTCGACCATTGATTGATCTTTTAACGTGCTCTCGAACAATGTCTAATCAAGAAGTTATCGAACAATATATTTACATAAATGTTTAAGTACAACGTATTCAATTGAGTTGGTTACACTGTAGAAGTGTACAAACAAAACCGTCATTGAAAATATAGTAGATGCCGTCTATTAACACTTCTATAATATAATCCATTGTCGTGGAAGAGTGGATGACAATATTACTAGCGATACACATGCGGCATGTTTGATTTTAGCATGTTTATAAAAATGAATACCAATGCCTAGATGTAACATCAGACAGTCAAACAATAAATGAATTATTACAAGACAGAAAGAAAGTCAACAAAGGAAGAAACTAAGAGAAAAAGAAATAAAGAAAACGTCTGATAGAACGAACGAAACAGACAGTGAAAGCTAACATCTAAAGAAAGAAAAAGCACACGAATAATAAACATCGAGAAAATCTTTAACATAATATCTGTTTTAGTGCGCGTCTCTGGCATGTGCTATTGCAGAGATGTACACTTAATTCAATTCTAGAAAAAAAGTTCGTAGTTAGCTATGATCAGGTTCAGTCACGATTATAAAAATCAACCATATTCACAATAATAATGTAAGTGTATATTCGGAACATAAGTTTTGTAAATATGAGATAATGCTCTATTTTGCTAATTCTTCAAAAGAATACAATATTAAGTAAAACGTATTCATTAATCTGTAGAAAAGCTTACACTTGTTCAAATATTTTTCCAGTGACTATCAATCATCCAGATAATGTTACAATTTTATATTAATATTACTATTCATTTTCAATAACTTTTGATCTAATAAAAACAATGCTGATAAAGCCAATCCTTTTGTATAACTATCAGATTTTGTACTATTCTGAAAACTTGTACACAATTAAATAGGATTGAAGTTTGATTATATTATAAAAAATTGTTAAACCCTTGAAAAATTACACCGTAAGATGTATTTGAATCTATTGAAAGTGAATCTCAGTATACAGGAAGTATTTCACTTAAATAAAGAAAGAAATTATTTTTTTATGTATTCCAATGAACCCCAATCAATGAGAAAGGCCTTGTTGTCACCAGGAAAGCAAATACTGAATCGAGAAACGCATTAGGTCAACAAATAACATTATTGATATTCAATTCATTTGTGAAAGATGAAATTTATTGCCCGCGAAAGAACTTATGTCTTGATAAAGTCACATTAGAACCATTGATAGAGACATATACTTGAGAAAATACACCATGAATCACATTAAAGTAAAAATCTAAAAGATAAGAATAGGAACGATACGAATATCGTTTTGTTAAGAACTTTTTCAACGAAACATTTGTTATAACGATAAATATCCTTGTAAGCTATTTCAAAACTGATTTTTGCATATTATCAAGGCAAGATAGAGGAGACAATTTATTTCTTCATATACACTTTCATTACATTTCGGTAGTCACTTTTGAGTCCTGATAGATCGATTAGAATAATCAGTGAAGACGCATGTCGATGTCATTCAAAGTTACTGCAATATTATGTTTTTCCAGTACTTCGACGTGATACACACTGCTCGACCAATTGCCGTATATATAAGGATAGACAAAGAGTACAAGTATAGATTCAAGAACATTGTATACTGTATAAGTTTACCAGCTAGATAATTTAAAATTTCCTTAAAAATATTTGAAACAACTAACGGCAGCTGTAGGTAATGTTCTGTACTATAGATCTAAAATTGATAGAATATGGAATAATGGTCTGATTTAAGGTTAATGCCAACTTAGACTTAAGATACATGGCACGACGTAAGCGCATTGATAAGAAAGAGTCGATTACATTTTTAATAATCGTTTATTTTTTTTTTGAAACTATAATACCTGAAAGAGATTATATTTTTTCTATTAGAAATTAAAATATAACTGTAAGGATGATGCTGAAAATTCTATAATGAAAAGAAAAAAAAAATATTATTTGTGTGTTTTACTTTTAGATTTATATCATGGGACAATATATAGCAACACATGAATTTTATCATGTTTATACTGATGAACCACATACAACACGTCGAAAAGAAATTCTCAGTAAATTTTATTTAAATGCATTAAAATAGATTTCTTATCTAAATTATTTAGAAAAATATCCAGAAATAAAACAACTGATGGGTCCTGATTGGCTTATGTCAATACAAGTCATTATATCAGTATTTATTCAAATTATTCTTGCAATATATTTAAAACAATCATCATGGTTTAAATTAATTTGTTTTGCTTATATTATTGGTGGTACTATAAATCATACATTATCATTAGCATTACATGAATTAACACATAATTTAGCATTTGGTCATTTACGACCAATATCTAATTATTTATTAGGCTTTTTTGCTAATTTACCGTTAGGTATACCAGTATCAATAACATTTAAAAAATATCATCTTGATCATCATCGGTAAAAAAAAATTTTTTACTGTTTTTTTTTAATTATAAATATTTTTCAAGATTTCAAGGTGATGTTATTTATGATACAGATATTCCAACACGTTTAGAAGTATTTCTATTTTCATCACGTTTTGGTAAATTAATATTTTTAATACTAATGCCACTTCTTTATTCATGCCGACCAATATTTATTTTACCCAAAGCAATACATTTATTAGAATTAATTAATTTAATTATTATATTTAGTTTTAATAGTTTAATGTTTTATTTTTTTGGTAGTAAAACTTTATTATATTTTATATTAAGTACTCTACTTGGACTTTCATTACATCCTATATCAGGACATTTTATTGCTGAACATTATGTTTTTAAAGAAGGTTATGAAACATATTCTTATTATGGGCCACTTAATACTATTACATATAATGTTGGCTATCATAATGAACGTAAAAACAAAGCGAAAAAAAAAGAACTTAATTCTGATGTGTTTTTGCATAATGTTTTATATTTTTAGATCATGATTTTCCATATATACCTGGTAGAAATTTACCGAAAGTGCGCAAAATTGCTGCAGAATATTATGATAATTTACCATATTATACAAGGTACAATAACTCGTATTTATTTATTTTTAGATTATCTCCGATTTGCATCTTTGAACGTGAAAAGATCTATTGTAGTCAATTGTTTAGATTATGTAGAGTTTTTCAAGATTTTTTTCAACTTTTTGCGAGATTTTAACACATTCACCCCGATTCAAATTTCATAGAAACTAACATCTTTAAATACGTTTTATTAGAAAACAAAATATACCACAAGATGCAGCATGAAAAGCTCTACAATCTACATCATAAAACGTATTTCAATTGTGTACTTTTTGTTTTCAAAATAAACTAAAATTGTGTGTGACCAATGTTTGAGGTTGCGAAAATTGATTGCACAGAATTTTGCTTTTTTCGAAAACAAAAAATAAACTTTACGATGTAGATTGTAGAGCGTTTCACACTGCATCTTGTGCTATATTTTGTTTTTTCTTACGAAATAATATTAGGTGATAAAAAGATGAAACAAGAAAAATGAAATTTCACATTCGTGCAAAAAAAAATGATCGCTTCGCAACTTCGAAAACTAGTGATACAGAGTTTTACTTTCTTTGAAAACAAAAATTACCCAATTAAAATAAGCTTTACTATGGAGATTGTAGAGCTTTTTACGCTGAATCTTATGGTATATGTTGCGTTTTTAATAAAACATATTTAGAGATTAAAATATGAAATGCAAAGTGGGGTCCACCGGTGGACCCCATCGAGTCGAATGTGTTAATCCCATTTATACTTGATTTGTATATCTGTATCTAATCCAATCTCTCTCTCAATTCTACATAACAACGTAACCCTATGCATAGAGTGATAACAACTGTTAAAAAATCCCATTAATGATGAGCAAAGAAAAGAAACATCCATAGAACAACGCGAAACAAAGAAGAATATAGCGAAAGGGAAAATTTCAACATATATGAAAGAAAAGGAAAAACCTATAGTACATGACTATACCATAAAAGGAAAGACAACGAACATAAGTTCATAGGTATAATCCTATAGAAAGAGAAAAATCCTTATGACTGCATCTGAAGATAATACAGATCATAACATTTATTCATAGGAAATAGAAGATTGTTTTGCACGATTAGTTCATTGTTACGCGATATACGATGAATATATTTCAGAATACATTAAAATATGAAGAAAAGAAAACCATATTTCAGTATTTATGAGTATATTTCTTTTTAGTTGGATCAAAGTACTTTATGATTTTGTTATGAATGATAATGTTGGTCCTTGGGCACGTGTAACTCGATCAACAAATATCGGACGTATTCAAGTATCAAGTCAACAAGAATAACAAAAATGCAAAGTTGTTTTTAATGCTTTATTATTTTTTTTTCTTGAATTAATAGTCATGAGAATGATATTAATCGATCTATCAATGAGAGAGCTTCCTTTATTAGTCTTCAAGTATAAATATAATATTAAAGTTAAATTAGTATCATTGTTTTTTTTTGTTTCATTATTGGCATGATGTCAGATTTTTGTTTTTTTTATTTATCTCGAGTATTCGTATGAGGCACTTCTTCTAACTGGTATGTTGCTTTTGATTCAAAACCATGTACATTATGCATACCAAAATGGATTATGAATACTTTGAAAAGAGTTCGTATCTTTAACTTATTGTTGCGTAGATGCTACACTTTCACGGTATTCTTTAAATGAATGCTGTGGTAACAGAAAAACTGATTTTGGAATATCAACGTAAAACTTTGCATAGAAACGAATCTTAACGAAAGTATTTTCAGGTTGTTTGGTTTGCTCCTAGATGAAAATAAGACAATAAAATTCGCCTGTTTATGTGAGTAATATAAACGACACACTTTTATCATAGTTATATCTTAACATATGAATAGCAACAAGACCTGAAATATTCACAAAAACCAATTCTCGTTAAGACCTGGTTCTATGCAAAGCTTCAAGTCGAAACTCCAAAATCAGTTTTTCTTCTACCATGACATTGATTTAAAAATTTCTGTAAAAGTGTAGTATCCTCACAACAATAAACTACGAGTACAAATTCTTTTCAAAGTATTTATAATCCATTTGGGTTATATAGTCTCGAATCAAAAGCAATTTATCAGTTGCAGAACTTCCCTCGTCACATGTCTCTCTAGATTTTCTAATTATATTTCTTTTGAGACAATAGCGTTTTTATTTTTTGTTTTGTTAACATCTATTAAGTTATGTTGTTCTATTTATTGCTTATTATACGTTTTTAACTAATATATGTATATACGCAAAAGCTTTCATCATTCATCATGTTTTAACTTGAACGATAGAACAAGGAAAAAAATAATATAAATCACATCATGGTACTTATATAAATATGAAGAAAGTATCATTAAGTGCTTTTTTTATGCATTATTTATTAGCAGAATAACAGGAAAACGAACTAAATCAAAGCAAAATAAAAAGAAACAGGGAACGATGTGTATGTGTACATATACACGAACATACGGACGGAGAAAATTGACGAAACAACATAAAACAAAAAGAACGCAGTTACATAGATTAATTTTTTTTACGCAATTTTATATAGACACCGATTATCGTTTTGCTTCAGATATCTCAGAGATTGAAATCTTGATCACATATGCAAAGAACAAAAGTGCTCTTTTTTTCTATTTGAACTATTTTTGATTTTAGTAATTAGAGTAATTGTGTTTTGTGACGAAGAAGGGGGTGGAGACGAAGGTAATGTAATATCGTTTTTTTGAGTGGGTTTAAAAACAAAAAGAAACGACGGCAGTGTGTCTATATACATAGAGAGGCAACTATTACGAAACAAATACTAAAAAAAAACATTGAAGTAAACCTGAATGTTTTTTTCTCACATAAAATCTACTAAAATAATCTCCTAAAAATCTGACTCGAGTCTAACAAAAAAAGAACCATGGTGTAATATTAGTAAATTAATTTCTTATTATTCTTCCTAATAATTAGTGTCCTTAACATAGAAAACATGAGCTCTGAGATTTCTTCATAGTTTAGCAAGAAACACTCGGTGTTAACAGTAAAATTAAAACAAATTTCTACAGAAATAAATATAACACAAAACATAAAAACATAAACGTACAATTTCTTAGTTTCTTTTGTTTTTCTTTTGCTTCAATTTAATTTAATCATTCATTTTTCACATGTTCACCATTCGTTAATCCTATTGATGATGATAGATCATTCTGTTTACCAGAATGTTTCTTTTTATTTATTAATTTTCTTTCATCTCTTGATACATATGTATTATTATTATTATCAATAACATCATGTAGAACTTCATTAACTTTTGTTTTGTTTTTTAAATCAATTGCATTATTTAATTTTAATGCATCCGAACGTATTGTACGACGTATTCGAGATTTTGGTCCTAAATTTGGATTACGAACAAAATCAATTAATACTTTAATCCATGAAGCATGACATGGTAAATTATCATAATAATCTGGTGCAATCTTTTTTAACTAGAAAAAAAGAAGCAAAAGATAAAAATATTTTTATCATAAAATCAGATGTTCTTTTTTTTTTATACCTCTGGTAATAAATAACCTGGAATATTTGGAAAGTCATGATCTAAAAACAAAAAAAGCGAATAAATTTTTTTCTGCGAAAAAAAAAATATTCTTACGTTCATTATGATAACCAACATTATATGTTAAATAATTAAATGGGCCATAATAAGAATATGTTTCATACCCTTCAACAAATACATAATGTTCTAAAATGAGAAAAAAAAATGTATTATTTAAAACATAAGCAAAGAGAAAAGAAAGTTAAATTTTTATCTCACCAGATATAAAATGTCCTGAAACAGGATGAAGACCAAGACCAAGTAATGTTCCAAATAATAAATAAACAAATGATTTTCTTCCAAGTACATACATTACAATAAGATCAAAAACAACTTCAATTAGAAGATTAATCACTTCAAGAAGTGTTACTGGTTTTGGTACACGTAATAATGGTCGAACAGCATAAAGTAATGGTTGAGCCATAATATAAAAAATTTTACCAATACGTGATTGAAATAACCATGCTTCGAAATAAGTTGGTAGATCTGGATCAAGTATATCATCACCTTGAAATCTGAAAATAAAAACAATTTATTTTATATATCACGAAGCAAGTCTGCAAAATAAGTCAAGACTTTTTGCATTGTATAAACTATTCTCGTTGAGACTTTCTCTGTATGAAAAGTTTCAAGTCAAAATTAAGATTTTCTAGGGACGAGCCAAGTAGAAGGTCACCCTTGATCATGAAAAATTTTCTCTAACGAAGTTCCAGCGTTTTATTGCCCATCTATTCTCAAAAAACCACTCGATCGCTTGTCAAATCCGAACAGTTTTAGCCAAAATCTTCTAATCGATCTCTTGAATCATCGGTTCCTCTTCAATCCTGACGACCTCGGGACATCTTTGAATTTTCCTGAGGAGAACCATGACATTCATTAGAAAAATACTATAACAAGACAATATTCCCGCAGTAATAAGCTAAGGATACAAAGTCTTCCCAGGATATGCATAATTCATTTTAGTGTAGGCCTTGACTCAAAAGCAATATTTCCCTTGTAAGTATTATTTTAACTTACTTATGATGATCAATATGATATTTTTTAAATGTAACTGATGATGGAATGCATAATGGAAGATTCGCTATATAACCAAGAATACGATTTGCAATCGGTCTATGATTACCAAAAGCTAAATTATGACCAACTAAAATTTTTAAAACAAAAAACAATTATCTTAAAATTTTCTATTTGTATTATTTCATACTTTCATGAAAACTAATTGAAAGTGAATGATTAAGTGTGCCACTAATAACATATGTAAATAACCAAACATATCTCCATGAAAGATCTCGTACTAGAATAGCCATTATTAGTTGTATTAATACAGTAATAACAACTTGAACAGCAATACGCCAATCATGACCCATTAATTTTTTTATTTGAGGGTATTTTTCTAAAAAAATAAATACCGAAAGAATGTCGTTTTCTTTTCTTTTTCTATTAAAGAAAATCTATTAGACATACGTAGCATTTCTCTTCGACGTGTTGTATGTGGTTCATCTGTATAAACATATTGAAAATCCGAACGTGTAAGACGGGCACCCATATTAATAATATCTAAAATATAAGAAATTATAAATCTTATTCGAATATATATAAATATTAAAGATTTTGATGATTCACTCTAAAGGGAAAGATTATATTTGATATCAAATCTATAGAAATGTGTCATGACGTTGACTAATACTATGATTTTTTAGATTGAGAATATAAAAAAATAAAAGAAAAATGGAAGATATACCATGTGTCGCATTTTATATTTACTCTTACAGTATGAAATATTCAACACGTATGTGTTTATTGAACTGGAACAAAGTATGTTTATGTATAATGTGTAATGTTAATGACATACATATAAATAGAGCGGCAACTGTTTTAATGCGACATTCATATATATATATATATATGTCGTAGAAAAAATCTCTGTTTAACTAGTTGATGGTGAACTAATACATATATACATGTTTATATAGTCTAGAAGGACAAGATGATTGACGTATGTTCGTACTCATTATATAATAATACATGGCAACGAAGAAAAAAACAACAAACTTTGTCGATCATCTGTTGTTTTGTTGTTGTTGTTGTCGATGTAACTGTTGTCAACGGTACAACAATGATGAGATTTTTTTTTCGAAGGGGGTGAAAAAATAGTAGAAGAAGAAGAAAAAAAACGAACATTCGACAACAAGAAATTAATATTTTGGTACTCATTTCTTTTTTATATTTCAAGTTTTTTCTTCTTCTATTCATTTACTTTTTTGTTTGAAAGAAGTAAAAGAAAAAATACCGATGATAATATTATGATGTAATACATATTCTTGTCTTCAATACAGTTCAATAAAATCAAATTTTCTTTAGACTAAACATATTATACTCATCAGAAAAAAAACCTTTTCAGTCTCGCGTCCGTATGGATTTACTCACAGACCAATCCTTTCTTATTCAAGGTTGCAAAAAAAAATAATAGCTTAGAAAAAAAAACTACCTCTGTCATCAAGGAAGAGAAAAAAAGTAAAATAGTGAGAATAGTTTTTATGTCTCGTTTATTATGATATAGTATAGAATAATATTTAAATTAGTTTATGCATTACAAAATTAGATATGAACAAGGTCCAGAACGATTGAGTAAAAAAAAAGTGTTCGAAAGGTATGACGATGCATAAAATATGATTCAGGTAATAAAAATGGTTTTAACTTGTTGTTACCATCATTTCTCTCCCCTTTTTTTGCCACCAACAATACTGTTCGTTTTCTCTCTTGTTCTCCTTTTTCTTTCTCTTCATTATTCTTTTACTTCACATAGCTTCCTTCTAACCTGATACGATCGGCAAGCCAGAGAAAAAAACGAGTGACAACGATTCACGTCATAAAATGAAGACTGCTATAAAAAAAATTTTTTTTTCTTTCTTCACACTTTTTTTTTGCTTCACACTCTCTCAAGGCGAATCGACATCTACTGTCGTTCGCTAGGAACGTTAATACATATACATAAGTCAGCAAGAGAAAACTAGAATGTCTTTTCATGAGTTAAAACTTCTCATATACCATGCATACTTGACGAGTGTTACAGATCACGCTCATTTATGAACAGTATGTCATTTTCTAATGCAGGAAAACCAAGGAAAAAAGCAAGCGGAAAGTCGTAGAAAAAGCAAAAAAGAAAGCTGAGAGAACAACGTCAAGGCCTATTTTGATGTTTTTTATTTTCTCTTATTTTGACTTCATGCTGATTGCCATGTACATCCAATATTTTCATAAATATTGTGTTATATCATAATTGATGTTTACGAGCGATTGACAATAAAACTAATTTTATGGAAATTAAAAAAAGACATGAGATATAAATCATATATTTATATTTGCTTTGATATTAAGCATAAGAAAGATTGCTTTGGAAACAATTATATTTTCAGAGGAAACATCCAAGAATAGAGTTTAGTATGATAGAGATTGTAGATTAGATAATTTTGAGTAAAGAAACAGTTTTAGAGTCAAAAGAAAAATATTATTTGTAGCAGGTGGAGTTTATTTTTCAGATCAACATGACAGTGAATGTTAAGTAAACTTAAGATTTATTCTTATGATGTAACAGAAGCATAAGAAAGTTTTTTTCATATTATTTTGTATTAAGCATTATTTTTCTTTGTGATTTGAAAACGTTTTAGTTGGGTCATATATAGATAAACTACACTTTATTTACTAGGAATAAATATCAGAAAAATAAATGAAAAACTCTTTAGAATAAATCTAAGCGATAGAATAAGTCAGGATTTTGATATCAACAAATTTTTTTAACTATCATATTATAATATTTTTCACTTGTGTATATGAACTACTTAAGGTTTTTAGTTGAGTAAAGAATAAACTTGACATACATGCTTATATAAAAATGAAATCAATGTTTTTACACTTTCAAATATCATGAACTGATAAGCACGAATCATTCAATAGAGGTAAAGGTCTATATTTTTACAATAGCTTTTTCTTCTTTTTTCTCTTAATAATAGATAAAGATTGTAAATAAAAATATTGTGATATAGTTAGATGGAAAGTATTCATTATTATTTTTTCATTAATCTTCATTCAATCGATGCATATTAACCAGAAATTCAATAAAAATCTCTTGAAGGTTTTTTTCACTGATTTTCGATCATGCTTAAACATAGATTGTTTTTGACCGAATAAAAGAATACTAAACTGTATTTCATGCAGAAGTTATGAATGAATTATCCACTGTAGAATTATCTCATAGTTTCGAATATGAATCAAATCTTTTTTATTTCATGAAAGTCTTTTGAAATAAGGTATATTCAGATCAGAAAGAAAGCCAAAGCAAAAGAACTAGTGAATGCATCAATAAAAACTGAGTGTTATATGACATTTGATAAGCACTAATAAGAAGTAGTTTGTATCTAGGTCCGTTTGTCTGAAGGTTTTTTGATTGAGCATTAGTTAGAATAGTTTGTAATCATTGCGAAACTAATGAAAGCATAATAAGTTTTTCTGATCACCTTAACTAACGCTAGTTTTGTAGGACCCATCAATCAATTCTCCCGCCAAATCTAACCTGATTATATAATTATGAATGAGTTATAAAACTAAAAAGAGTCTCTATTAGTCATAGAAGATCGTTCAATGTTAGTTTCTTAGTTAAATATTGAACGAATAGACTAAAGCTCTTATATATTCGTCAAGTAGGTTTTTACCAAGGAAATATTGGTAATGAACCAGAAAAACATTGATCTTAAGAAAGCATTTCGAGACACGCATATTATTTAATAATAATAAGTATTTTTGAACAATAACATTCTGTCTGGAATAGTTTTATCTATTTTAAGAGAAAACAAGCACGTATTTCAAGATTTTAGTTGTTTGCTTAGTTGAATTACAACATTATTCTATGAAAATCTGTTTATTTTCATTCTATAATCATCGTCTTCTAGTGTTTTTTTTCTATTTCTTATAATAAACAGCTTTATAATCTAGGGATGTTATCCAGTCGACTAACGATATAAACTAGACTAGTCAGATAATCGTACCTAACGTTTCTATCTCGATAAACCCTTGATAACTAACATATCGTTTTTGTTTCTATTCTCGCGCGATACACATGTGCGCAGACATATATTATTCGTGGTTGTGCTAGAAGTACATAAATTAAAGTAGAAAAGGTCACGTTTTTCTTATTTTCGATACTGTTCGCAATAAAAATAAAATATCCTTCATTGATTTAACATAAACAGCTATGAGTCAATTGAAAACTACATGCAATATTTTATCTATGGACGTTTTGATGGAATTATTCAAATATTTTTATGTTGATGAATTATTCTGTTTATTTAATGATGTAATTCATCAATTTCCATTATTACTTAAAAAAGGAAATTTACAATTGCATGTACGTCATATAGATGCATATTTTCGTAAACATATCTTGCCAAATATTGAAATAAACAATGTTATATCAATACGTATTAAAAATATGTATCATATGGCTCCGGTTAATCTAGGTCAATTTAATCAAGTTCATTTACTGATATTACAGAATGTAACTGCGCTTAATTGGCCGTCTGATTTTCCCACGAATTTAAAATCTTTAGTAATTTATGCTCGAAGTAAAGATCGTGAGGAAGTATTTAAACAAGCCTTAAGTTTAGACAATATCGAAAGATTAGAATTTAATTCACCATTTTTACATTTTCATGATTGTCATGATATATTAACCAAACCATCAACAATTAAACATTTAATGTTTAATAGTCAACGTTGTTTTATTGATTATCAATTTTTATTAAATAATATGCCACATTTAGAAACATTAAGATCAACAAATACATATTATCCACATAGATTTAATGCAAATTTAGGAACATTTACATGTCTACGTACAATTGATTTAATTTGTAAACATGTAGACATTGATGCAATGATTTCTTTTCTAACAAATATAGCTTCAAATTCATTACGTCGATGTCGTTTGATAAACATTAGCAGTAGTTTATCAACACACATCGCAATCGTCCTGATTTCCTGATATTTTCCTGATTTCTATAAAATATCCTGATTCACCCTGATTTTGATCAGTTATCCTGTTCATTTCATATATAATGAAAATTATTTTTTTTTATTGTTGGTATTAAGACAAATTAAACATTCAACTTAGTTTCAAAGAGTTAAGATCGCTAGTTTCCTAAGATTTTGTAACATTTTTGGAATAATTTCTTCACTAAAATCTGAAACTCACTGTTTTATTTATTTTTGCAGTTCCAAGCAATTCCCCTTTCTTGCTACGCTTTCTTAGTCTGTCCTTGTAATTTGATGTTACATACAACATAACCATTAGCCCTTCGTTTTTTTACTGTTTGGCCTCGAACTAATTATTCTGCACTTTATGCTCAAGGTTAATAAGATGACGAAAAAACCAAATTTGTTGTTTGTTTTGAGTTCAACTGTAAACTTCACAAGTGACAAAAAAATAGAACGTCTATCGAACCATAAAGACTTGACCTGAAGGTGAAAGCTGTATAATCGAAAGCAAACTAA